CTGGGTCTCCTGCCAGTGCTGGGCCAGGCGTCAGTTCCTCTGGATGAGGGAGTGTGTGTCCCCTGGGCCTCTATATTCTGTGTTGCTTTGCCAAGGTCTAAGGCTGGTGTCTAGGGTGTTTAATGCTCTTTGTACATTTTTTATGACATGCACTCTTGATATGTTACCATTCTCATCAGTTTGCAAAAATTTTTGTCTAGTGATGACTCACTCAGAAAACAGCTGAGGTCTCCTGGCCTCACAGCTTATCATGACAATCTCATGTCGGAGAGAAGCTGTCGCCATGTGCCTGCTCCCTGTCCCTCTGTCCCCTCTCAGACCCTGTTCTTGAAAACCTCAGAGTTTCTGGTCTCCCTCCTCCCGCCCCCAGAACGGCCCCTCTCACCTGCCAGCAGCAGCCCCGTCCAGGGCACCCGCCCTCTGTGTCCATGGGCTGGGGGCGCCTCCATGGCATCTGCCGCCTGCTCTGGGCTCCTCTGAGAGGGGCTGGGGCTCCAGAAAGGAGTCAGTCTCAGAGCCGAGTTCCTGTTGCTTCAGGGACACCCGGGGCCTGAGGGCTGAGCCTCCGCTAGAGCACTTTACTGGTCACGTGGCCTGTGGGGTGGTGACTGCCCTGGGCCTCCCTACTCTCCCCTCATTCTCTCTTCTTCCTGTTCCTATTGTCTACATTTACCTCCCCCCCCCCCAATGTAGCCTCTGCACGTGTCTTTTGTCTTTTGAAAAGGACAGTTCATAGAAAGGAGAAGGAAACAGTCACCTGTGTAGTCAAGGAGGCAGGAGTCGCTGCCTCTGACTGCTTCAACTCACAAACGTAGAAATACACACACTCACACACACTCAGCTATGCGACACACTCAGCTACACGACACACTCACACTCAGGTACACGACACTCAGCTACACGATACACTCACACACTCAGCTACACGACACACACACACTCAGGTACACCACACACTCACACTCAGCTACACAACACACACACTCAGCTACATGACACACACACACTCAGGTACACGACACACTCACACTCAGCCTCACGACACACTCACACTCAGCTACACGACACACTCACAAATAACACAGTCTTCCACAGGCATAATGTGGGTGTCCATGTCCGGGGTTTCTCCGTAGCTCGGTGTAGATGTGCATAGCACCCTCAAACCCTCTCTCTTCCCTCTGCCTTTCCCTTCAGAGCTGAGCCCGGGGCCTCATCAGCAGCTCCTGTCCAGGGAACAGCCCTCCGTGGGGAACTTGATAAAGGTCATGGGTGCCAAGGTGACACCTTACACATGGTGCTTCAGCTGCTGCTGAGGAAGGGGGCTGTCCACTGGTGAGCCCATGATCAGGCTGGGGGCCTCTCCCTATCCTGTGCACAGGGAGGGGCTGCAGATCTTGGGAACACGCAGCTCCTGACCTGGCAGGTGAGAGGGGACCCAAGAGCCTGCGTCTCCCCATGTCCCAGGTGATGCTGGCCTTCCTGACCCATGGAACCCTCTTTCCGCAGCGAGACTGAGGGGACCCCCACGCCGTGCTTGTGCATCCCGCGGGGTCCATAAACACCAGACTCAGGGCAGGGCCTTGACCCCCGGGGGTTGTTTCCTTAGTCATAGTGTGCTCGCTGGGGGTGGGGTCTCCCCAGAGCCTCCACTGGGTTGTGGCCTTTCACTCTCAGTTGGGGGGGTCCTGGAAAGAGTCAAGAAGCTAGAAAGGGGTAAGAGTTTACTGCCTATGAGTCCCCTAACTCTCCATCGGGCTCTGGCCTGGACACGGCAGGCCGGACACTCAGGTGCCTGAGAAGGGCTGCAGCTCCTGGAGGGAAAGTTGTACTCACAAGATCTGGGAGGAACAGCCTGTGGTGGATGGCCAGTGGGGCCTGGGCCTCCTGGTCAGCGGGGACAGTCTAGACTCCTGTGCCCTGGAGTCTGATGTATAAGCTTGTCCCAGGGGATTGTCCACGTGCTCCCTTCTGTCCTGGGGCCTCTTTCCTCATTCCCTCTCACTCTCCGTGGTCACCCCGCCTTCCCATGGTGCAGCAGCGGGGACCCCAGACTGGCTCTCAGAGCCCAGCAGGGGGTGATGTGGACGGAGCATGGTGCTCAGGGCTGGGGGCTCACCCTGACTTCCTCCAGAGCTGCTATCACCACGTCTGGGAGTCATTTTCAGGGCTGGTTAGAGCCTTTGGTAAAAGAGGAAGGACAGACAGTGTCTGCCAGCCTCCTGGTGTAACTTCTCCCCGCTGACAGGTGGGGTCCCGGTCCATAGCGCAGGGAGCTCACCCTCAGGCCTGTGCACCCTGCATAGTTCACACCCCCTGATGTCTCACTGCAAACAGGGCCCATTCCTGGGTGGCTTCAGAGCCTGGGCATCCGCCACACTGGCTTTATTTCTGGGGTACAGGAGTCAGGCATGTTTCTGCCCACCAAGGTCCAGTGTCATGAGAAGGCTCCTGGAACATTCCTGCTGGTCAGCCCTGGGCTCGGCACAGGGTCCCCACAGAGAACAGGCCTGCCTTTGGGGAAGAGCCAGCCCTGAGTTGTGGTTACAGAACAACATGTCTGTGATGGGGGAGGCGGTGAGTCATGTGTTCTTGGCTCATAATGGAGCCCCTGGGGAAAGTGTGCTGCTTTCTGGGACCAGAGGGCAGGGTTGGTTGGTTCAGTTACAGATGGAGAAGGGTGTGGTGGATGGTCAGCGGGGCCTGGGCCTTCTGGCCAGCAGGAGCAGTCTGAGAAGCTGCCGCCTGAGCATGGGCCTTCACGTGGGCTGAAACCTGACTGGATGGGGGTACTGAGAGTCCAGTTGGGGAGTGAAGGGCCAGGTCTGAGTGGGGTCAGAGGCGCTGGGGAGGCTGAGGCGTATAATGGATTGCCGCCATCTTGTGGCCACTTCAGGAAGTGCATCAGTTCCGTTCTTGCTTTTCGAACAATTCACATTGTAGCAGGCTAGGTTTGCCTGCCTTTCACCACTGGACAGCACCGCCACTGCCCTGTCTTTTGGGAGCACAACCTGGGTGTTTCCCAGGGGTCCCGCATCCTGCAGGAGCTCCATCCACCGCGACCCAGCTCTGAGGCCCCGCGGCCCCAGGGCCGCACTGTGTCCCTCAGTGCGTGACAGCAGTTTAGATATGCTGGGATATGTGTCCGTGTGTGTCCAGTAACTTTCTGTGTCAGAAGGGACAATGCAAGTGCACCCTGATCCCTTCGCCTGGTCTGGGGACACTCACAGCTCACACCTGACCCCAGTCCTGAGCTACTGTCCTGGGTCTCAGATGTTGATGTGACTTGACGCACTCACTCTTCTCATGAAGTGAAGAATTTTCATGAGCAGGTCAGGGGGTGTGGCCAGGCCTGTCCACTGAGATGCATTTGACTGGCTGGGTCGCTCCTGGCTGTCACAGCGGGGGTCCTACTGGCAGTCAGGGGGTCGGGGCCCGCACTGAACTAACAGCCTGCACTGAGTGAGAAGAGGCAGCCCAGTGCCAGTGGCCAGGAGGTTGAGGGCCCTAATGTGCCTGCCCCAGCTCTCCCAGGAGGGGGCCCAGCCTGTTGTTCCCATCTCTGCACTTCCTCTCCACCCTCCTGCTCCTGCCTCTTTCCTCCAGTCCTGGCCAACCTGTCCTCACTCGACTCACCTCACTTCCCTCAGCTCTTCCTCCTGCAGGAGCAGCCCAGGGGGTGACTCGCCACCTTGCCATCAGCTGACACATGCAGGGGCGCATTGTGCACTGAGCTGAGGAGTCCATCGAGGAGGGGTCCACAGCTGGGCGTGGGGCAGGGAGGACGGCCGGTGCCCTCGGGCCGACAGGGCTCTGTGGGCTCAGCCCCTGTGAGCATCGGCCCTTCTCGTCAACACTAACTCCCGCCCACCTCCCCTGGGAAACAGACACCTTTTGGGAGTAACTTAGAGGTATTCATTTCCCTGTGAGGCTCAGGAAGAATGGACCAACCAGGGAAATATTTGCACACAAATTCCTATGTGGAGAGAGAGAGCAAATGGGTAGATGATCACTTTATTCAGCCCTCTCAGGTGGCCCCTGTGGGTCACAGGCCTGGTCACTTTACTGGGATCCACCCACACCCTGGTGCTTGGTGGACTTTGTCCAGGCTCATTCAGGGCTCCGGACAGTATGGTGGGGTTCCGGGAAACCAAGACACCCCTAATCCTGGATCCAGATTTTAGATTATCCCAGGGCTCAATCTGGTTTTCTGGGTGAGGTCCTAGTTCTTGACACCCGCTAAGGCTGGGGTCCCAGAGCCTCTAGGAAGAACTTGAATGGGTGGTTCTCAGAAGGCTGTAAGAAGCCATTTCCTCCATGGGCTTGACCCGGCTTAGATGTCTGTGTTGGGCTATTGTACCTCCTGTAAAGGAAGGCAGAGGCCTCGCCACTGTAACCTCAGAACAGGTTACCTTGGTCTCTATAGGGGCCTGGTGTGTCTGGAGGGGTCTACAACCAGGACCTTAACCTCAACCGCCATCCACAACCCTTTTCCA